TTCTCTCTCTCTCTCTCTCTCTCTCTCTCTCTCTCTCTCTCTCTCTCTTTCTTTTGAAATCTGATACTTTATGTAGATATATGTAAATATAATCTGTGTGTGTATATTTCTATTTATATATTTATTATACAGAATGTATATTGAAGCAACGCTCGATCGAGATCGTGCGGAATCTTCTCGGAATGCTCCATTCTATCCAAATATACGTACGTTTCGTAACACGTTGTATAGTTTCAGAGAAATACGTTTCATTAGAAACATAAAAATGAGCTCAATCGATTTCGCACTAGTTAACGAAAACGAAAAAGGAAGAAAGGGCATTTAGTAGTACTAAATGTAGCATTAGTTTGAGCTTAATACTTATGCTTTGGTTTAAGTAAAGAGAAGATCCTGCGGAGTCTACTGACGTCGTTACTCTCGTCAAATAAAATCAGAGAGAGAAATAGAGTTATTTGTACGATATTATTCGGAGAAATCTAGAACAAACGCATCTATATATTATTACTATTTATACGTAGGACAAGATCGTTATTTCATAAGTTATAGCGGCATTTTTGTTGCGTATATGTATATATACACAAGTTACTAATGTTCGATATATGTTGGTACTCGAATTTCACCCAGCTATAGAAACGCTTTTTAGCAAACTAATGTTGAAAGCTCAGAAAAACAGGCAATTTTGTAGACTTTCCCTTGCAAAAATCAAAAATATCTTTGAGAATATACATATAGACATATTTTCTTACAGAATACTCAGAAAATGCATTTAAGAGTCTCAAAATATGCATCGACTATTTTTACTCTATATATAATTTCTTATCATCATATTTTTTAAGAAGATTTAAGAAGACTTTGGAATCTTCTACCATTTAATGTTGAATGTACATCAAGAATATCCAAAGATTTGTATTAGCACAAACTTATTAAGGTGAAAACTCAAGTACCATGGAAATAATTAATAAGAGATTATTAATTAAAAAAAGATTATACATATATAAAGATATTGGGATAGTTAAATCATATCTATACAACATTACGGAATCGATGCAATTAAACATGAAACGCAATCTTGATCATCTATATAACAAATTCCGATTATAAATTATGCTTATTAGAAGTCATTGGATAGAAAATTACCCAATGCCCAAAATATCACTTATCAAATATTAAAAATAGATAACAAGAACCAAGGATTGCCGAATAATAGAACGAATAGAGCAGGGTAGGCATTATCATGTATACATTAATACATATAGAATTATTGTATATAGCCACTTAAAAAAGAGAAAAACAGATAAATCATTCCAGTCGGAGTTCATAAATATTTTACTCCGAAATAAATCTAACTGAATGATATGATTACGGAGGTTTAAAGCGTCTTTCCGCCGATATGTGTGATTAGCGTAATCAAGGGGAGAGAACACTGTTGGCGCTACGCTTATTCATACATTCGAAGGAGCATTAAAGATGCCTCTCTTCTACATTATGTCGCACTTACACTAATATCCAAATAATTCATGTCACACGATTGTCTTTTTTTTTGTTAATGACAAGACTGCCGAGAAGAATATGCTTTGCAAAGGATTCAGCATGAAACACAAATGCTTTCTCCCTTACATCAATATGCCGAGAAGGATCAATGTGACACGTCTAATTTCCAAACTCTCGCCTATCCGACAGTCTCTCGTATTCATCTGTGATTGTCCTGACTGATCTGATCAGTACGAACTTGATCTATCGATTTGCTTTGACTGCTCGCATCCGACAGAGAATCGCTATCGCTATTTGGACCTACGCGAACTGGCGATGGACTGTCCACTGGCCGGAAGGAGAAACTGGGCGAATCTGCACTTGATAAAGATTCGGGTGTGCCTACAGAACTGATAGTTCCTGGAAGTGGGCTAGACAGCGTATCCAATCTGCGAAAAAAATTATTAAATTAAAAAATTTTAGGAGCATTTCTATAAAAAACTATAATATAGAAATATACAAATCATATCATATAATATACATCATTAAATTATAGAAATGTGCATAAACACATTTTTATTTCTTTTATGTTAAAAAAATTATTATTCCGATAGTTATGTGTTATGTCTAAATTCAATTTGAAATACACAGACGATTATTATAAAAAATATATACAACCTGGATGCAGCCGACGTCAGTAAACCAGAAGTCCGTTTCGCAGGCGGTTGCAAATTGTGATCCATTCCAGTCTCGTCTAGTTCGAATTTTCTTTTGACTGGCCCTAAACAGCTTGGCCTTATCGCGATAGGACTCAAACTGCGCCTGTATTATGAAATATTAGCATTGAAATTAGTATAGTAAATTTTTTTTAAGTTTATGCATAATTTAGAAATAATATAGTTGAGATAATTATATAATGCTTGAAACAAGTTTTACCTTGTCGCAAATGCCTTTCTTGTAGGACTAGGAGATAGATTGTTCTTCCAGATGTGAATACCAGGAGAGTAACACTGTCTTTGATTAAATCCGGATCTTGTGGGGGAAGGTGAAGAACACAGTGGTGAGCCAGTGATGGACAGATTCAGACTTAGAGGATCTAACAGCCTTCTCGGCCGTTCCATTTTATTAAGCGTAGGAGACTCTGAATCCTTGAACGACAATGCTTCCGCCTCCAAGGTAAGATCTTCCCATGATTGTGATATCTGCATGGCACTATGAATTTCCTTCTCGTGTGCCGCTTCCCGGCCAGCGACGTCGACGCATTCCTCCTGTCTCAACTGACTCACGCGTGGTGTTAATCTAGGAACATTACCAGGACTCTAAACATAGAAAAAAAAATAATGATAAGAAACAATATCAATTAAATCGTTTATTATAAGAATTAGAAAATTATAACATTGCAAAATAAAATGTTTATTACTGATTACAATTTTTTTTCTCTAATCAATTATAGGAATATAATTCTTGAAAATATATATAATAATTAATATAATTTTTTACAGAAATATAATTCTTTATTTAATTCTATTTCTGTTTATTTGTCCAGAAAATAAATGCTTTTAAATTTTGTCATCTTGTTGAAATAACAAAAAAAAGATAATGACAAAATATTTAAATGACATTTAATTAATACGAACTGAATAATAAATAATAAAAAATAAGAAAAATAATAAATAAGAAAAATAATAAATAAGAAAAATAAGAGAGTAAATAAGTAACATGATCTTACACTAGTACTAAAGCGTCGTAAACGAGTTGAATTGGCAAATATATTATAGGTTGACACAGCGTCCCTGCAAAATGACAAAGTAAAAAATATTTAGAAACAATTACGTTCACATAGCTGCAAATACTAAAAAATAATAATTCGAAGATTCCTTGAATAAATTATTACACAATAATTTCAAAATACTTAAAATTCAGATTCATTAATTTATAAACAATATAATCATGCATGAATAATGCAGCTATGGCATAAGTTAAATTATATTGACTTGCAGTAAATAAAACTGCATATAAAAGTATTGCAAATATTTAAAATAATAATAAATTATCAGCAATTATATACAAGTTTCAATAATTTACCTTGAATTTCTACTTATAAAAACATTCACAAAGAATAAAAAAATAAAAGTAAGTATGATTCTTGTACCTCATCCTCATATTCTTTGTTACACTAATATATATTTACATTTATGTCTATATTTATATAATAGTACATGCACACTCGACATTAAGTTCAAAACACACAAAAATAGATTAATGTCTCAACATACATATTTGATCAGCACTGCATGCAATGCTGTTACTTTTACAAGATTAGCAGCTGGAGCGGGCAGTACTTCAATTATCCGCTCCTGAAAACTACAAATAACTTTGGTGTCTTTTTAAAACTATACTTTATTGCCGAGGCTTAACACAGACCTCAGCTGATCTTTACATGCATTAGACCTGGAGAAACTCAGATCATGAATCAGTCATGCTTTACAATTCTTATAAAGGAGAAAGAAGACATTTGGGGACATACCTCGACGAAGACGTTGACGGTGTGGTGACGGACATGGTCGCGCTGATCTCGTTAATCATCGGCGCACTACTGGATCTCTTCAGGCTAACAATTGGGCAGTCAATGTCCATGGTTGACGGGGCGGCACACGGCGGTCCCAGGTATCCCAAATCGTGATCCTGCGTCCGCGCGGAGGTGGCACATAGGAGATCCCGTGATGATCAAAATTATCCGAAAACGTCGCCCTCCTCGCTGCTGCCGTCAACCCCCGATGTTCCCGGATCCGACTCGCGGCTCTCGCGATCTTGTCGGACACGTTCGTCGTCTCCGTCGACTGCTGTATCCGACAACGAGGGCATTGAGGTATCCACCCCACCGTGACGAGGTCGTTATGCGCGTCCAGAAGGCTGACGAACCCTTCTTGATTGGATCAACGTTGATAACCTGAGCAAGCGTCCAGAACGACGCACGGTGGCAAGGCGAAAAGAGAGATGAAATCTGGTTGCGAACAAAGTTGGGCCGGGCCGAACCGAGCAAAGCGGGCGAATCTTCGAGCTTTGAGGAATCTTACTCCTCCTGCCACCACTGCTGCTACTGCTGCTGCTGCTGCTGCTACTGCCGTCGTCGATATCATAGGCTGGACGCTGTTGTGTTTGTGCGAGGCGCGTACGGCGATGCGACGTTATCGACCACTCTTCTTTGGTTCCCGTACACAGAGCGCGGCATGGGGGGCTACATAAAGCCTGCTGTTTTAATGCATTATTGAAAATGTCCCACGTGCAACGTGTTCGGAGCAGAGTGCATTTCCAATGAATCGTTAGAGTGATTCACGCAGGAGAAAAACGTAAGTATATGCAAAATTAAATTTGAAATTCGTACGATTTTGGAAAGAAATTTTGGAACGAATAATTTCCTCACTGCCTTTCGAATATGTCTTTATTTTCAATGGTTCGTTATTATTTTGTTGCCACAAAAAATTTTATAACACTGCCGCAATATTGCCACAACTTTGCTGCAATCTTGTTCACGAATATTTCGCATTTTCCCACATTACGATGCAATCTTTGAGAAATTGCTGCGCTTGAGTTTCCCGAAATATTGCCGCAATATTGCTGCAACCTTATTGGAATCTTCCGCTCGCTTGCAAATATCTCGCGCGTCGCGATGAACTCCAGCAATTTCATAGATCACATCGCGCGTTCCGAAAACTAATCCGCGATTACGATCGCGATCGTATGCAAGAGTCGACCACGTAATATTCGAAAGACGCCGTGCGGAATTTCCTCCAGTGGTGTCTCCGTTCTCAGGAGGTCCAGCTTTTTGATTTCGCCGCTCCGGAAAAAGTTCCGGATGCCGTTGAACTCCCGCTCCGGCCGCTCCGGGAATGCGACTACGTGATCGCCGTGGTACGTAGCCTCCTACCGACGAATCGCCGTCCGTCACCGTCGTGATCGTGGCACGTCGCGCCGCGACAGATGCGCCCGAAAGATCCGGCGCTCGCCTGCTCGCCCGGTTCTCCGCCGAAAGATTCGGTCTGTCTGTGTTCACGGTTCCCGACGTGGCTTCTGCCACGCCAATCGTCAACGCAACAGACATAATATAACCTCAACATTTCACCGAGCCCCGAGCTCCCAGTGAACGATGTTGACGCCTGCATCGCGCTTGACCGTCATCGGATCAAGCCTCAACGACGACGATGACGATACCTTTGTAATGATCGCACTTTCTGCCTGGTTCATATTTGTCATTCCGATCCCTACTTTACTACCAGTATCGCGAATTTCTAAGTGAATTTCTTAAAGAAATCCACATTATATTCTTTTAAGATAGACGGATTACGTGCCACGACGATGACGGTAAAAATTGCACTTGTGTTAATGAGAAAAAATTATGGATACCCATTAATTCTTTTTCTTTCTCTTTTTCTCTAATCCTGATATTTGACAGATTGTTAGCTGCTGTTTTTATGATGAATGTGAGCACTGGAGACAGTGACGATGTATCCTTCCGTCTGGGAGAAATGTTTGACAGCTATGAAGAACTGGAACAAAAGCTGGACAGAGTCTCAAAACACACTCTGGTGCATTACTGGAGACGAGACAGTAGAACTGTGAGTGGAGCGCACATGAAAACTGCACGTCACATTAGCGAGCGATTAAAGTATTATTCTGTCAAATATGCATGTATTTATGGTGGCCAGAAGTTTCTCCCACGTGGCGCTGGCAGGAGACAATCTCAGTTAGTTTCCAATCACTTCACTAATAAACAATATATATTAATGACACATTGATATTTGTTTTTGATATATATTTTTTATCTTTGCATATAGGTCTATACGAACAAATTGCCCCGCTCATATTATGGTCAGAGCATCTAAAGATGGCACAAAGTTGGAAGTGACCAGTGTCAATAATGAACACAATCACGAAATCTCAGAGGTATGTTTAAAATTTTTAATGTTCTATCTAATGTAATTTAATATGTGTTAAATTTTAAAAATAATATTTTGTGAAATAGGACCTATTTAAAAGACTTCCTCAAGAGAGAAAGCTCTGTGGTGAGATTAAACAAGAAGTTCAAGATCTCATGCAATTGCATATTGATCGTAAAAGATTGAAAGAGTACGTGCGATTGCGCACCAATAAGATACTGCGGTCCAAGGATCTGTTTAACATAGCAGCAGCAAATAAACAAAAGAGAGATATTACACCAGAACGAGCATATCAGTTGTTTAAAAAAATACATGATATTGAGAAGATGCAAGCCAGGAGCGGTAATAGAAAAATATATCCCGAATCTGAGGACGAAATGGCGCAAACCATAAAAAGAATGAAAAAGGAGCAGGAACCCGCCTGGAGTCAAGATGTAAGACATTTATTTTTTTTTATGTATAGAATTATATAAAATAAACGAAAGAATTTTCTCTCCTTAGGGATTGTCAACGGAGTTAGAAGTAAGCGAGGGAAATGATGGCGAAGATTCTTATAGTGGTCAATTGACGCAAGAAGAGGTGGTTGGCGAGATCGATACAAACGAGGGCGAATTGTTGAGAACAAATAATGAGGGCGATATAATAACGGCCAACGGAGAGATAGTAGGTGAGCTAGTAATGGAAACTGGAGATCCATCGGTGATAGTCGAGTCTATCGTCAATGCAGACGGTTCCGTTTTCGTCGATGAGAGAGAATTCAATAGCTACTGCAACAATCATTTGTCGCATGCGGTAGACGATAGTCAGTCACCAAAGCCACGTGGTAACTTATTTTTTATACTAATTACTAATTTTATTGCACAATCAATACATCAGAAAAGACTTTATGTATCAGTTTTAGACATAGAAACGATTACTTCCACCACCACTATCGAGAAAGTTACGAGGGAAACGTCTACATCTCCCAATCATAAATCACAAAACGACCTTTTACCGCTTCAACAATCACCAAAGTCTCCCAGCAACTTTCAAGAAACAGATTCAAGAATTTGGATTATGAAGGAGGGTACTTCTATGGAAACGGAACCGGAAAGCGGACCCGAGAGTGAGATAAATTTAACGGCGAAGTCAGCCTCGATGATGAAGCCGGACATGGAGATATCTGATGCTGTGCTATCCGACGAAACGAGTCATCAATTATTGCAGGAGCAACTGGCAGTGTTACGCGCTGAAAAAGGAAAGTTATATCACGAAACTGAGATGCTAAAACTGAAAAAGGACAAGTTAAAGTTGCAGATAAATTGCTATTCGAATGAGATAAAAAACAGGAGATGGAGAGGGAGAAGTTGAGGCTTGAGATCAAGTTACTTCAGTCAAAAGTCATGGAAGATTCTAATGACGTATCTCACTATATTTTTGTGCCCTAAATTCTCTAGACCATGTTGTATAAAGTTTGTAAATAATGTACCGTTTAAGAAAATCAATGTACATGAATATGGCGGAGATTACTTGTACATATGTACAGATGTATGTTAATCGATTATTGAAATGGATCTGTGCTACAAATTCACATTGAAAACAGTACAAGAAGTCTTAATTTCAACAAGAAAAGATATTCTTTAGAAGATTCTTTATTGAAAATATACAGATAATACCTATGTCAACATCAATTATGATATATAAAATTATGATTACGAATATGAGATATAAAATATTAATTATGGATTTGTTCTGACATTAATCTATAAGTTTTATCTTGTTTTATCTTGTTTTATTAACGCACTATGACATTCTCTAAAATTTTCAGTTTCATTGTAATTTATAAAAGAAATGACTGATATTTTAATTGTGCCCAGTCGAATTTTCATGTATACAATTTCTTACAAATTTGTCAAACATTTTTTCTCAAAATAAACATTTTTTATTTTATGAATTCTAATTCCATATACAATAATTCTGGACTTTAATTCTAGAATAAATTATGGAAATATATAATATAGATTAAACAAAGCTTACGGATTTCGTAATGCTTCCGAAAAGCGATTTATTTAGCAAGAATTTGTGTCATTTTGATTCACGAAAATAAATTCGCTCTGCACGTGTATTATGACACTTCTGTTTGTCGGAATTTCGTTATCCCCGAATTTGAATTCGAACGTGCCGCCATCGATTCTCACCTACTGCGGATTGCGCGATCGGGATAGATGGCAGCAGGCATCCGGTCCACGAATTTCCATGGTCTCCTCATTTTCCTGGATTGCTTCGATCGACTTGCACGAACGTACGTACAATCGTAGTTTCACGGCACGACTTCCTCGAACGTTCGACGATATGCTGAGACCCCTGCTGCTTCTGTGCTGGGCCGCGACGATCGTGTCAGGTAATCTTCAACGCTATTTATGGCAAACGTGGACAGCGTACCAGGAACGTACCCTCGCGATGTACGACGACGAGATGTCGAGGAATCTTGACGTCCTCATCGTCGACACTTCACGATCTTATCGAAAAGGACGCGGGGAGAGGGAAAAAGGAATCTTTCACGATTCCGAAGTTACGTTCGTGACCGCTTCGGAGATTAATTGCGCCTCCGATGATCCGGAGGCGCCATGATGAAGGGGACATGAGATGTTCGGCTTCCTCCATCGGGGATATTATCACGAATATGTTGACTCGAGTGCGACCGCACTCGCGTCGAATCGCGTCGCGCTGCGCTGCGCTTCCGATTCGATGCGGATGATTATACACTTTAGAACAAAACGATCGCTCACGGGCGTGCATATGCGTGAGATGATCATTGTGTCACGTCCCGGATAACAGGAAGCCAGATCGCGCGTGTATATTATGTTACGCGATAAGGATTATCGCGTTGAGAAGATGGGAGTGGAGGAAGGGAATAAAATTTGTGTTGCAGATTTAATCGGTTTACGATGACGCCTTCTATCATTATCTTTACATTCATCGCTCTCCACTCCGAATTCAAAATAATTTTCAATTTTGGAGAATTTATACAATACGGATGCCGCGACACACACAAGTTTATCTCTTGTTTTTCTTTGAATGAACTTTGCACGCCTTTGTTTAGCGTTCTCTTTTTTTTTCTTTCGCACGGTTTGTCCCAAAGGATGGACGATATGAATAATTCAAATGTATAAAAAAGATGACATAAAATATTTAAATATTTAATTAATATTGCGGATGAATATTTAATGCCGTTTACCCGGGATATATTCTGCATATTTTAAAACTTATTAAGAATATGATTTTAAAAATGAATATGATTTTAAAAATGCGTAGAATATGACTGGTCTATTTTTAGAGATCATTTTCCTTATGTTCCTCGCAAATAGGAGATTACAAGACCTTGAAAGTCAAAGGTGAATCACTCTCAATGAAATATAATCATACATGTAATTTTAACAGCTGGCAACTTGAATGATGATGGCACGAATGTCAATACTGCAGATGGATCTGTAGCTGCAAATTCTCAGTTAATACCTACTCAACATGTTAACTTGTTAACATCTGCCATCCAAATTGATCATGCTCCGGTTAAACCAAACGTGGAAACAAAGTCTTTACCTTCAAATGAAGGTGAGCATACAATGAATGATGCTGCAACAGAGGCACCAAATCTTACTGCATCAACAACAAAGCCAACTTTAGTGCCTATAACCAAGCCGACTACACCTTCAACCACCACGTCTGTTGCTCCTACAACAAAGTCTTCTACAACATCAGCACCAACAACGCCAGCATCAACAACACCAGCACCAACAACGCCAGTTCCAACAACGCCAGCTCCAACAACGCCAGCTCCAACAACACCGGTTCCTCCACCCGATCTTGGAAAGTGGACAGTCAAAGAAAATAACATAACGTGCATTATTGTTCATATGGCTGTGCAATTCAATGTTTCTTACAACAGCACAAATAATGTGGTATGTATACAAAAATCACATAATATTATATATGAATATATTATATGAATTTATTATCTATTTTTATCAATAAATTAATTTCAATCTTAGTTTAATTCACTTTTTATCTTTTCTAATTCATAAAAAAAAGAAAAAAAAGTAAATTAAACAGAGATCAAAATCTACATTGGTAGAAATTAAAGTTTGACAAGTGTATTAAAATATACTTATAAAAATATCAATTTAAATATTATAAAAGTTAAGTTTAATTAAATATTAATATAAAAGTTAATATAAAAGTTTTTATCAAGTTTTGATTATGTTTGAATAAATTGAAATATAGCCGTGATCGATGTTATCAATTCTATCAACGTAATCAATTCTATCTTGTTTACAGACAATGTACAAGGTAATAGATATACCCACCACCAGTAATTCAACAGGAAAATGTGGTGAAACTGAGCAGAGCTTGATATTGTCATGGGAATCACAAAATAAGACTGTTCGAAATAATTTCACATTGCATTTCATAAAGAATGAAACGGGAAAATATTATTCTCTTCATCATTTCGAGATCTCTTTGGTAGCCAAAGAATTCCCGAATAATAAATCAAGTATGCATTTATTTTGTGCAAAATAAGTTTATTTTAATCTTGAGTTTTTCTCTAAACTGAATTTTTGTCTTTAGATAAGACCACTACTGTGGTACACATGGCGCCACAATTCAAAACTGGATTGAGTAACTCGTATAGATGTTTCAAAGAACAACAGCTAAACTTGACCCTCGAGGATAAAAACGTAACTGTAGGACTTTTGAAAGTAAGCAATCTACAATTCCAAGCTTTCCGAAGTGATAATGCTACTATTTTTGGCCTAGGTGAGTATTCCATTTTTCTCTTTTTATCTTAGTACAAATGTTATGATTATACCACAAAATTTATTTATGTTTTTTACCTTATTTTTTCTAGCCAAGGATTGTTCGTTCGACACGCCTGACATCGTTCCTATAACTGTGGGTTGTACATTGGCAGGTCTGGTATTCATTGTATTGCTGGCATACCTCTTCGGCCGCAGACGAAGTCAGGCCCGCGGTTATCTTAGCATGTAAGCCGAGTCCCATGAGGTTGCCCCTCCCTTTTTTTCTTTTTTTTGTTTTTAATCGTTAAACTGATATTTTTTTACGTAATTCTCCATTATGGAGTCGATTGTCTTATCGAGAATCTATGTAGTTGTACTTTGTGTTCTATAGCCACGAAGGCTGTGACACACATTAAGAAGAAAAAAAAAACAATATAGTTTATACGTTTGTAAAGTTGTCACGTTTGCGTGCGACAAAATTAGAAAAAGAAAAAAAAAAGAGCTATGTCGATACGTATCGCAGGGCGGTTCAAAATAATACAGGATGGGTAATAATTTCAAGGCAACATGTTCCGTTGCATAAGGGCAAATACTCTAATAAAAATGAATCGATATAATTAAACATCGTGAGATCTGCATCGTGCCCATGCTGCGGTTTTTGAACGGGGACAGTTTGATTTTTCATGAGCATTTCGAATATGGAATGTGGGAATGTGCATATGAAAAAGATTCAAACATAAGAAAGACAAACATTCTGATCGACGTATATAGCATTAATAAAATTATTACATTAAATATCCGCTGAATCTGCAGCTTCTTATAACAAGATACGCGACGTTTTTTCCTTGTCTACTTTTTTTGTTTTTTTTAAGAAATCATTTCCTGACTTTAATTACCGCGATACGCGCGATATGCCTTTATACATCGCACTTAATACATATATCGATATGTGTTTCCGTTACGTTCGTACTCGAATTCTTTTTATTAAACTGTACTGTGAAGTAATATACCAGTTGTTTATATAGCCCTAGGTATGCGTGCGTGAGTGTATCAGAATAGTATGAAGGAGCACGAGCTTCACCTGTTAATGTTAAAGTTATGCTTTATTCTGCGAAAGCGTAAATTAAACGCTAAATTAGAGATTTATAAATAGCGTGCAATCTTATAGATGTAAAAAGAAAATTAGCTTACGTCAAACGGAATAAAATCGTAATATCAAAACAATAGCTCAGCTCAATTAACATAATACGTAAAGTTTTGGAAAATATTTATTCCCCTGATAAACATTGGAATATGTCCCAATTAAATAATAGTTTTAAAAGGAGGAAAGGTACATATTATTACTTATAGAAGCATTAACAATTTTTAATGCGGAAAGGAAACATCTTCGCATTTTACGCTACTGTTGCTTTGTTCGAATGTGTCTCGACGATTTTACCTGATACAAAATGATATACGAGAGTAACGAAATCTGGTATTTGTATTTGAAAAAGAAAAAAAAACGTGGGAATTTAGAAATGTGGGATTTCAGAAATTCAGAATTTAACAGGAGTTTCGCGTGTGCACCGTGCTGCTTCATAAGTACTATACTATGACAAGACTGAACGACGAGTAGTGAGATGAAAGTGGAGGGCAAAAAGTAAAGTAAAACAAAGTAATCGAATAAAGCGCTGTACATAAAGCAAAGTAGTAGTACTACTTTTGGATTACGAGTATGTATTGCGGCTAGGCAAGAGATCTACATTATCAACAATAAAATGGAATATTTCAAAGATATTGTGGCGTTATTCCTTTCAACTACTACTTTTCTCCACTCCAAACTTTTTCTCTGCTTTCCTTTTATCAAGATACAGATGTAATATGCAAAAGACAATACTTGTTCAAAACCCAACTTAATTTAGAGAGCATTGAACATTTTAGTGTCATGTTTACTTTCCAATTTAATATGTTTGAAATCTACGGTCTCCTAGAATTAAGATACTTGGAAAAACGGTCTCCTAGAATTAAGATTCTTGGGTATGCGTTATCGCATTGCTACGTAATGACAGAAGTAAACATGGCCGCGTATCGCAAATCTCTTATTGGTGATGCCTTACAAACACAACGCTCTGCAGATCAGCCATCATGGCACGAGCATGACAAGCCTGGGCCTAAAATGTAAACAATACGACATGTAAATCATATCAGCGAGCACATCGACGGGTGACGGAGATGTACACGTTGCTGCACGGTCTATATAAGTACCTGGTGCAGAAGGACGAGTACTTCATATTAATTTTGGGACTCGACAATGCAGGGAAAACGGTAACTCCAAATATTTTGAGGTTATGATATGGGGAACTAATTAGGTATTACTTGTAGACTTACTTGGAAGCGGCGAAGACGAAATTCACGAAGAATTATAAGGGCATGAATCCAAGCAAGATTACAACTACTGTAGGCCTGAATATCGGCAAGATTGACATCGCTGGGGTTTCCTTCAATTTCTGGGATCTCGGTGGCCAAGAAGAACTACAGTCTCTGTGGGACAAAGTAATTACAAGAATATTAAAACATGTTATGTAGTCTTACATCTTTCGTTCTTTTACCTACAAAATTATGTAATATTCTTTATCGGATTGACAAATTGTATACAAAATTATATAATTTTCTATTTACAGTATTACGCAGAGTCTCATGCTGTGATTTACATCGTTGATTCGTCCGATCGTGATAGAATACCAGATTCCAAAGAAACTTTTGGTAAAATGCATTCTTTAACAATATTTGGTATTATTAATATTTGATTTTATTTGATGTTCTCAATCTCAGAATCATTTTGTTTTGTTCAGTAAATGTTAAATAAAGATAAGTATTCTGAGCATCAAAATGTAATGTATCCTAAATTCGATAAGTTACAATTGGGACATATTTCCCAACAATGTGGGAAATATTTTTAATATTTTTAATAGTTTTGATGTTTTCTGTACTGTAATAAAATATATATATATATATATATATATATATATATATATATCATA